TACCCCACCCCCACCCCGACCACAAAATTGTAGAGTGTGAAAGACACACAAGTCCAGGCCTTAGGACCAGAATAGGCTTCTATTTCTCAGCTTCAACATCTGCCTTTTGCTTTTTCAACCCTCGCCAGGTTAGGACGTAACACCAACTACTATAATGGGTAACCCCTGGATCACAGTGTCTTGACCTCATAAAAGCTTATTTCTTACCTGAAGTGTCCAGGTGAAGAGTTGCACAATTCAAGAACGGGGATTCCTTCTGTCTTGTGGTTCCCACAGCCCCTGGGACCTCAGAGTCATTCTTTCCGTCCCCCAGACAGGGAGAGTAGCAGATCCTCCACATTCACAGGCCAGATCTGGAAGAGGCTAGGGTACCCGCAGGACATTTTCTCTACATCTACCTGCTTGAGCTCCTGCAGAGGACAGGACCTCTGGTTCACCACTCGATCCACTGGCTCAACTGTAATCTACGGCCACATCTTGTCTGCAGGGCTGGAGAAGCCTTGGAGCGGTGGCCTGGAGGTGTCGGGGGGCTTAGATGAACACTCGCTAGTTGTCTCTGCCTCAGCAGGCCTCCAGCCCAGATCTTTTTCTTTCTCTTGCTTCTTTTTTTTTTTTTTTAAACATCATGGGCTTTTTTTTTTAATTTTTTTTAAATTTATTTATTTATGATAGACACACAGAGAGAGAGAGAGAGAGGCAGAGACATAGGCAGAGGGAGAAGCAGGCTCCATGCACTGGGAGCCTGACGTGGGATTCGATCCCGGGTCTCCAGGATCGCGCCCTGAGCCAAAGGCAGGCGCCAAACTGCTGCGCCACCCAGGGATCCCCTTTCTCTTGCTTCTTTAGTGTGAGCCTGTTTCCAGTTCCGCATCAGCCTTCCTCTCTCTCCTCTCTCCTCTCTCTCCCCTTCACGTAGGAGATGAGATGCCTCTGCATAGGTCTGAGCTATGGAGACAACCCCCACGTTGACCTTTCCAAGCAGACAGTTTGCAAATCTCCGACCTTTTCTGATGACCTCTCCTATCTTCATTTCTCACCCTGGACCGTCTCCTGGAGCTCTAGCTCCTCAACACCTTCACGGACCCAATGAATCTTTACAGAGCCCTAAGTGGGGATTAAAAAAAAAAAATTCCTGAGTCAGGAGCTTATATTTAACATTTTATTGGGAAGTGCAATTCAAAAGAAGCAAGTGAGGGAAAAGGGAAGTGAGGAAGAGGGGGGGGGGAATAATACAAGAAGGTGACTTTCCAAGTCAGCTACAGAATCGCAGTGAACACAGCCTGCATCACCAGCAAGGCCGTGGGGACGGGGCGCAGCTCAGAATGGTCCCACCATGGGCAGTGGGGTGGCAGGTGAGTCCCGGGGAACTATTCGCCAGGTTCTTCTTTCTCTTGTCTCCGTTGGGCAGCCTTGCCCGGAGGCACCGAGTCCTCGCACTTCTGATGTGTGCTCCTGGCATCCCCAGAATTGGCCTCTGCCAATCGACCAGCCCAGATGCAGGCCTGCTGTCTGCTTCTTCCCCGGTGGCGACCACCTTGCAGGTTCCTTGACCCGTGGTGGTAGCGCTTGTGGATTTGAGACCAGGAAAGCGCAGGAGCCATCCCCAGAATTGCTGTGGCTGCAAGTAAGATGAGGGGTGGCGCCTAGGTGGGGTGATGGGGGTCAGGGCCAAGCACTGAGCAGGCACTGGGCATGATTGCTGTGGTCTGGGGATGAAAGCATGAACGAGACAAGGTCGAGTTCGCCTGGAAAACCTTCATCGGTGCCACGGAAATGTCCTGCTGGCACCTCAATCTCCGTTTAGGCAAGACAGAGCTCATTTATCCTCTTTCGATCTCACTGTTTCCTGTCTCAGCGAGGGCGTCAGCCTCCTCTTGGTCACACAGGCTCATCCCTCCCTCTGCCTCCGACTCCCCCAGCACATCTTCAGTTTTAATTAAGAATTACTGAGAGCTCAGGGCGCCTGAGTGGCCCAGTCAGCTGAGTGTCAAACTCTGGATTTCAGCTCAGGTCATGATCTCAGGGCTGTGGGATCGAGCCCCACATCTGTGCTGGGTGTGGAGCCTGCTTGTGATTCTCTTCTTCCCTCTCCCTCTGCGCCTCCCCCACTAATGCACTTACAAGCTTTCTCTCTTTAAAAAAATAAATAAATAAAAGGGGGTGCCTAGGTGGCTCAGTGTTGAGCGCCTGCCTCTGGCTCAGGGCGTGAACCTGGGGTCCTAGGATCAAGTCCCGCATCAGAGTCCCCACCAGGGAGCCTGCTTCTCCCTCTGCCTATGTCTCTGCCTCTCTCTGTGTGTTTCTCATGAATAAATAAATAAAATCTTTTTAAAAAATTAAAAATAAGATAAAATAAAGTAATAATACAATCTGTTTAAAAAAAGAAAAAAGATTTACTGAGAGCTGTCTAACTGCCAGGAGTGAGCAAAGGAAGGGTGTCTTGCTGTGCAGTGAATACACAGCACCCAGCTCAGTGCCTGGCGCACACTAGGGCCTCTGTAACATCTGCCGACTGAACAGTCAGTGGTGAGTCTTCACAACCGCCTTGGTGCTTCTGTTACAAAACTGCGCCATGACTTGGTTCCTTGTCACTACCTTTCACCAGGTGTATTTCAGGATCATCCTGATGCTCTGATTCTGGTCTCTCCTCCTTCCAGACACATTTCTGAAACCCAGCTCGAATCACACCTTTCCCAAGCTCCCAACTTCCCAGTGGTTCCCACTGCACACTAAATGGAATCCAAGCTGACATGAGGGCTCTCTAGGGCCATGCCTCAGTTTGACCTCCTGTCACATCTATTCTACTCTGGGTCAAACCAAACCATCCCCATTTTCTCACTCACTTGCTTTCGCTCTAAGGAATCCTTCTATCCTGTTCACCAGAGAAGGAGCACATTTCCCCAGAATAACCCCTTTTACAACAATTGTTAAAATCGTGGTGAAGAGATGTTAGACTGGGTGCCATGAAAAAACAGATTGAAATCGCAGTCCCCCGGGGGGTCAGCCCTGCCTCAGAGCCTCTTTTGTGCACTCTCCTTCCTGCCAAGCAGAGGGTCGGCACGTCCTGCCCCTCATCTAGAGCCCACCCCATCCACAGATGGCTTCTTATGTTGAACTGGGCTCCTTCCTCCACTTATCACAATCTGCACATGTTCGTAGCCTGTCCATCCTTCAAGCTCTAATTCAGATCCCTCCTTCCCACAAAGCCTTTTCCTCCTCCAAATCCTTTAAATCCCCACGCCTTGCATTTCTTACATCATTATTTGTACCGTGTCCTATTCTCACTGATTAAATGCAAGTATCTCTCTCTGTTCCCCAGAGGGCTGGACATACTCAGATTATTGGATGAATGCAGGTGGGAGGGAAAGAAGGAAGGAAGTTTAATGAATGCAGGGTCAGGGCCACCCCTGCAGGGAAGAGGCTGGTCGTGGTCTTCCACTAGGGCATGTATCAGAGGAAGAGAAGGGAAGTTGCTGACCCTTGATCCATGTGGCCAGAAGAAGCAGGAACTAACGCCTGAGGGTGGCTTTCAAAGGTGTTAAGGACAGTTCTGCAAACATCCCCTGAAAGTATAAGTTTCAGTCCTGTGTTCAGAGACTGTGAGGGCTGGGCAAGGGTAGGTCACTTCCCCTCCCCAAAAGCCCCCACAGCGGCAGACCCTGTGGCTGGTGACTTTACATGTTCTCTGCAAGAGGCTCAAACATGCCTCCAATGTTCTACAGAGGTCTATCCTCATTCTCTCTCTCTCTCTCAAAAATAAATAAATAAACAAAATCTTTAAAAAAAAAAGGAACAAATCAGATGTCATAAACCAGGGGTTATCCTAAGGGGGGACTGATGCTCCCTTTCCCAAGCAAACAAGATACAATATTACGGTGAATGGTCTCTGAAATAGGATATTACGGGTGAATGTTCTCTGGAACAGCATGTCATGGGTAAACGGTCTCTGGAACTTTTCCAGCCAGGTGTCTCCTGCCCAATGCACACTTCAGGGAGATCATCGTGCCCTCCCTCCAGGCACGGGTGCAAATTGGAACAAGGGCGTGAGCTTCAGCTGGAGCTTTTGTCCCACTGAAAACCCCTTACCAATGCCTGTACCTGGTATGGAGTGTGGCCCACTAGGGGTTCGAGGTGACTGGTCTGCCTTTGGGTAAGTAGAGTCCAGCTGACCAGACAGACACAGACAGAAGCAATGAGGCCAGAGACAGACAGTGAGGATCTTGAGACAAAGGGAGGGAAAAGCCCATCTTGGAAGGATGGAGGGCTGCATCAAATGTACTACAAGCCTTAAGGAGAGCCCTTGGGATCTGGTAACCCATTTAATTTGGGCTTGTCTAAACTCACTTTATTCCCCTTTTATCTGCCAACCATAGTTTCTCAGGGCATGGTTCCAGGCAGCTCAAAGGGATACCAAACTGAGCCTCATGCTAACAGTACTGAAAATTACTGTAGTCTCTTAAGTACTTCAGGTGGAGCCACACATCTTCTCACATCTGAGAGCCCAGGGGGAGATGTCAGGACTTGCCTCCCATCTCATAAGACTGGGGTGTGTGTGTGTGTGTGTGTGTGCGCGTGCGATGAGGGGGTGGCAATGTGGTATGGTGTATGTACAGTATTAGGGTGAGAACAGGCGTGAGGATCAGAATATCTTCCTGCTGGACTGGTGGGGGGACCGAATCTACTATACATGTGAATCTAATACTTCGACAAACAAAAGGTCCCCTTCACTGGGTGACTTCTAACAGCCCCAGCAGAAAATTCCTAAAACCAGTCAGAGGCTCTGCATGGTGCTCCCAAACCTGCATGTTGCCTTGCAGACTCGAGCCACACACTCCCATTCCTTGTCCCCACTCCCCCACCCCCCTCCCAGGGCCAGCATCCCTGTAAACCCCATTCTCATGGGGCCCACCCAGTCGAGTGAGCTCTGAAGCTGAGCTTCCCATTCCACCCCACCCCCTCCACCCACACAGCTGAGCTCACCCAGCCTGCCTCTTTTGCAACTTTCCCAAGTCTGTGCATGAAAGAGGAGGAAAACAGAAGGACGTTGCTTGGCGTCGACAAACCGTTCTGATCCAAAGCCTTTTTCCTCTGAACGGCCTGAGACCTCTGCTCTAAGAGGAGACCCCCAGACTCAGCACGCCGCCTGCCCTCATTTGCCGGATGCTAAGCAGCCACAGCTGTAAGTGCCTTGGAAGTTTTTTTCGGTTCTTCTGTCTGTCCCAGAGACCCCCAGAGGTACTGAGCTTTGGGGGTGGGAGAGAGGGAGTAGAGGCAAGGAATGCAAGGATGAGGCTTTGAATCTGACAGCTTCAGGGCTCAGATCCAACCTAAAGACCCCCCCATGCCAGAGAAACGTCTAGGGCATGGCAGGGAGCCAGGCAGAGAAGACTTCCCCGCCCAGCCCAGGGAGCTGGGGCCCGGCTCAGGGCTCTGCTCAGGCCATCAGTCTCAGCGGGAGGACATGGCAGGCTGGCTCAGCAGAGAGGGTACAGCCAGCTCCCTGGGTCACCTTGCCACATCGACAGGGCGCCTTCTTGAGTGGAAGCTGTTGGCCAAAGGGTCTCATTGGGGAAGGAGGAACTCCTAGAGTAGAAAAGTGTCCTTCTTGTTCTAAATCATAAACATGTCTCCTGGCACGGCTCTCCAATCCTAGGCAAGCGATGAACAGAATTGGACAGATGTGAGTTAGTCTCAGTTTGCCACTAACCAGTTCTTCTTGACTCAGGAATCCAATGAACTATGATGGCATTTTGTAAACAGCTAAGTGCCCTATTAATGCAATTGCTAGGCGTTGTGCATTAATGAAAATAATTCATTTGAGCTTGTCAATTGATGTCCCACCACACAAGTCCCATAGAGATAGAAACTTGTCTGTATCCTCAGATCTACACAGTGCTAATGCATAGTAGGCTCATAGTACATGTGCTGGGTGAATGGACAGATGGATGGACAGATGAATGGATGGATAAATGGAAGGATAATGAGGGGCACCTGGGTGGCCTAGTAGGTTGTCTGCCTTTGGAAGGTTACATGGACAGGTAGACAGGTGGGTGAATAGATAACTGGATGAATAGATGAGGATGGATGAATGAATGACTATTGAAGATTTAATATTCGCCTCATGAGCCAGGCTCTATGGAGGGATAGAGAAGTGGGAGGAGTGTCCTGTCCTCTGAGCACTGATAGTCTACTTCAGGAGACAGGACTAATACTTCCAAAGAACTTCAAGAACAAGAGCGAACATGGAGCCTTCTGAAACCAGGGCCATGGGTGCTCTTCCTGGAGGGAGCAGGTCTGGACCTGCTGGGATTTAGAAGGCGGAAGAGTGAGCATCCCCGCAAGGCTTTGTGCTTTATAGATAGCTTCCTTTCAAAGACAAACTTTGTTCCCATGATTATAAATCCCATTATTTTTAGGGTGGATATATTTGTCATTTTCCAAGACGTGGAGCAGGAAGGGGAGACACTGAAAGCTGGGTATTTAGTAGACCGCCTGCTTCAGCCCTCTCATCTGCCCCTGCTCACTGGCCTCCTGATCAGCAGAAAGAACACTTCACCCAACACCACTGAGGTGGGAAATGGTACCTGGGTCCTGGTTGGGGCCAGTGGGGTAGGGAGAGAAGGGGAGTGGGGAGGGGGAAGCAGAGCAGATCCAAAAGTTCTTATAAGACTGGACCTACGCCCTAAGGCTGTGGGGGGGAGGAGGCATCAACTCAGTCTTTCTTACTCCCCAGGGACTGAGCTATACAGTAGCTTTGGTGGGTGGGCAGGGCTCCAGGCTTAGAAGGACTGCCAGGCAAGGAGAGGGGACTTAGTCACATGCCATGGAGAGTGAGTGGCCTGTTAATTCTGCTCTGGGTGGACCTGCACTGGCTGAAGGTAGGGCCCTGCCTTCCAAGCCTGCTTTTCTCTGTTATTTAACAGTGGAAGGTGATGACTCAGTCTAGCCTCTAGGACGATGCCCTAGTTTGAAGCCTGTGAGGTAGCTGAGTGGGAGGAGGCTTGAAAGGACAACGATTGCCAAATTCCAGCCAAGGGCTGAGCCCAGAGGACATAGGAAAGGCCTTCAGCCACCATTTGAAATCTGCATATGCCTCCTTGGTGAGCCCAGCCAGTGTCTACCTCCCTGCCACCTTTCCTCACCAGTGACACTGTCCCGATCACCCTCTTGTTGCTGCTAGTTATCCTGGGTCCAAGGATCAGGCTATTTTAAATAGCAAGCTCAGCAAATTCTGCCCTTCTGAGCATGGGGTAGGGGATCTGCAGGAGCAGGATACTTTAAGGGCACATCCAGGGGAAGGGGGTTCGGGGGAGGGGGTGGAGGGGGAACTCAGAGTCAAGGGCAAAGTGAGTCACAAGGGTCTGGAAAAGAAAAGACAGTAAACTTCAGAAGGCCTGGCATGTGGCAGAAGAATTGAGCATGTTTTATGTGGCCCCAGGAGAAATCCACCGCTAGAGGAGGGAAGAAACTCTATGGGGACAGGTCTAGCTCCATCTTTCTATGAATGGGGTCGAGATGGCTCAAGCACTGGGCGGGGGATTGGACTGGATCATCTTGGAGGTTCCTCCTCCAGTGTGCTGGAGCAGGCTCCACACCAGTAGATTTAAATCAGACTACACCACAGAAAGTGGTCGGTACTACAAATCAGGTCCTTGCCCCCCCGCCCCACGCAATTGTTAACCATTTATCTGGGTTTTCCCCCACTGGGGGAGCCTGTTGTCCTATAAGAAATGACACATGTTACCCTGCAGAATAAGCCACAGCCATGACAATGTCTGTTTTACCCATGAGAGAACAAACTTACTAAGGTCAGGCAATCCACCCAAGGTCATGAATATATGGAGGCACGATAGAACTCTGACTCCAAACCTTATGGTCAGCCCCTGCTACTAGGTCACCTCCCTCTCCTGCCCCAGACGCAAAGTGATTTGTCTTGTCAGGAAGTCACACTCAGATGACTTTGGGCTGCCACTCATCCCTGTGTTCTTTTTAAAGAAATTTTGAGGTTTTATGTTTGATATTATTTAATTAGAGTAACAACTGAGCCTCATGTAACAAATTTTAGAACAAGACATATGTAAAATAAAACAATAGCTCCTAGCTTCTAGTTTACCTTTCCCTGCCTCCTATTAATCATTTAGTGTGTATCTCTCCACAGCTTCCTGTGTCTACAGGGCAAGCACAAATATAATATTAAGTGTATGGTCAACACATGGGAGGTTTTTATACAATCAAGATTATGTCATACAAAATGTTCAGGGATGTTCTTTTTCACTTCAATTGTTACCATATTTTTCTTCCTCATTACTTCACTCTTTTTAAAATTGTCGGTATTCCAAACTCTGATCAGGTTATAATTTATGCAGAGAATCTCTGATTGATGGATACTAGGTCACAACAGTGTTCTCCAGCAATCATCTTTATACAAAGGGGTATTTGAACATAGGCGTATTTTCTGTAGGACAAATTCCTAAAATTAGAAGCTAGGGTATTAAATTCTGATATTGTGGGCAGCCCCGGTGGCGCAGTGGTTTAGCACCGCCTGCAGCCTGGGGTGTGATCCTGGAGACCCAGGATCGAATCCCACATCGGGCTTCCTGCATGGAGCCTGCTTCTCCCTCCGCCTGTGTCTCTGCCTCTCTCTTCGCTCTCTCTGAATGAATAAATAAATCTTTAAAAAAAGAAATTCTGATATTGTCAAATTTCCCTCCAAAAAAGGCCACGCTATTCATAGCGTATCAGTGATGTACAACAGTACTTCCCCTATAAATTTGCCGACACTTAATGATACCACCAATCTTTTTAATTTTTGCCACTCTCTAGAGAGAGAAAAAAAAGATATTTTTCAATTTTGTATGTCTCTAAAAATTACTAAGTTTCAGTATCCTTTCAAGGCTTACTACTTATCATTCATAAGACTTCTGTTGGGTACTTACTCATATTCCTTCCCACTTTTATGTTGTATATTATCTTCTGCTATTTGTACAGCACTTCCCAGGTAGTGGATATTGACTCTCTGTTATATGTACACACTGTCTGCCTCCCCTGCTTTCACCCCAAATTCCCCTTCGTAAGCACACAAGCTCCACTGAAGGTTCCAAATCCATACCACCCAACACCCGAGACTTGCTGACAGGGGCACCAAGTGGCAGGTATGTGATCCTTGTTCTAGTTTTATGGAAGACAGTAGAATAAGCAGGTAAGAGTATGGTCTGTGGAGTTAGGCCTGGATTCAAATCCCAGCTCCCAATCCAGGCCCTACCTATAGGCTGTACTTTTAGAGGAAATCTACTTCACATCTCTAAACATCTGTTTCTTCAGTGGTGAAATAAAGACCAGTAGTCTGGTCAGCCCCCACAGGTTCCTTCCCTGTGTTAATAATAGTCATAAAAGAGCTAATATTTTTTGAACCTTTAATTTGGGCTAGCAAATGTATTATACATATTATAATGTATTCATTCATTTAACCTCAAAATGATGTACAAATTCACAAAGTCCTCTGCATAGTGCCTGGCGAACTATAGTGCGAGGCCTAGATAACTCCAGCATGGCAGCGTGGCTCTATCATGGTGCGTGAACACACTCCCTTCCAAGTAAGCATGCCAAGTCTTGACGCTGGTGGTTAATCCTCTTACAACAGCTCTTGTTCCGAAGACCCATTCCCTCGGCTCCCATTTGTACCTCTTGTCACTTTGGCTGCTTTTCTCTCCATCTCCTCCAACTCTGCTAGGGTTTTGTTGGGGCTCACCAAACCTGAGTCCAGTGCCCCAGATCCTATGCACACAGATTCTATTGGTCCAAACTCAGGAGATCAGGAGGCAGCATGGCAGAGCAGCCTTTTCTGGCCTCCAATTCAAACCCTGGTTCACTTACTATCTGTATGGCCTTGGATGAGGTATGAGTGACTTAGCTTCTCTGAGTCTCAGGTACATAGGATAATTGGGAGGATTCCCCAGGTTCTAAGAGAATACAAAGTTGCCTCTGGGGCGGCGTGGGGGGCTAGTTCCTTTCCCACTTGTCCCTGCCTCCCTTTGGTACCGACTCCCTTTCCAAGGCACTTCATTAACTTTTGAGGCTAAGTTAACATGTTGTGTCAAAGGCTTTAGGGAAGAACACACCATAGCTCCCACTCCTCTTCTGGGGTTGTAACTGATGCTTGGAGACGTGGTGCCTTTCAGAAACTTCTGAACCATTTCTCCCTTGGGTGGTTTCCCTGTGGGCAGTGTTACCCGTTTCAAAATGCCAGCCCTGGCTGATACACCTTGAATTATCTTCCTCTGCTTGCTTGGAGCACAGGGAATGTTTGCTGAATGAAAGAATGAATCAATGGACAGTATCCTTGGTCTGATCCTCATGACCCGTCTTAAAACTTGGTTCTTCTGGGGCTCCTGGGTGGCTCAGTGGTTGAGCATCTGCCTTTGGCTCAGGTCATGGGATAAAGTTCCCACAGGGAGCCTGCTTCTCTCTCTGCCTATGTCTCTGCCTCTTTCTGTGTGTCTCTCATGAATAGATAAATAAAATCTTAAAAAAAAAAAAAAACCTTCCTTCTTCTCCCGGCTTTCTTTCTTTCTTTTTTAATATTTATTTATTTATTTACTCATGAGAGACACAGAGAGAGAGGCAGAGACACCGGTAGAGGGAGAAGCAGGCTCCATGCAGGGAGATGGACGCGGGATTTCTCCAGAATCGCGCCCTGGCCTGAAAGCGGTGCTAAACCACTGAGCCACCTGGGCTGCCCATTCTCCTAGCTTTCTTATCTCCATACCTTTAGCCTCACCCTTCCTTGAAGCAAACCATCCACCTTCTCCATTCACTGTTCCCAGGGTTTTGTTTACTATGTCCCCTCCCTCTGATATATCACCCCCTAACCACAAATCTTGTTTCTTCAGGGCCCAGTTGGATTGCTCGCTTCTTTCCCTGCCCCCAAACCCCCATAGCACTCTCTCTGTGCCTCTGTTGGGATGCTTTACAGTTTCTCTCTGGTGTAATCACTCAGCCCTGAGCTTTCTCCCGTGGTGACTCCCTGGTAGGATTTCCTATTTGTTCCATCTTTATGCTCTTCCCTGCATCTACTGCAGGGCTTTGCAATGCAAGAGATAGGTAGGTATTTTTGGAATGACTGTCATGCATCACCAAGAAGACCTGTTGCCCACCATGCCAATCCAGCCCTCCTAGGTTATGGCAGAAGGTCCAGTGACACCAACTCAAGCTCCTGAGACAAGCAGCTCTGAGCAGAGCCTCAAACCACCCCTGGGCCATGACATGGCTCATGGAGAGGCACAAACAGCCCTAGCTAGGCCTCTGGGGACTTTTGATTTCACTTTGTGCTAACTAGGCACCCTCAGGCAAGCCTCTTGTTACAGCTGCAGTAGATAAAGCATATTTCAACCAGAAGGGACCTTGAGTCATTGGGGCCCAACTTTTTCATTTTCTAGTCGGAAAGCCAAGGCTCAGAAAAGGGGAAGTAATTGGCCCAATGCCCTACAGTGCCAAAGTGAGAGAACTAGAACCAAGATCTCAGGACATCCAATTTAGAGCTCTTTCCAAGTACCAGGGGGAAAGTCAAGCTGGCTCTTTTGAACACCTCAGCCAGGCAGAGTCAGATCAAGGTTTTCTCAGGATGCCTACCTAGTACATCCAAGGATAGAAGATTCAGGAGTTGAGAATTGTATATACATATGTGTGCATGTAAGAGTAGAACCCAAAGAGCCAGTTAAGCAAGCCCCCTGTGACAGTTTTGCTTTAGCTTGTTAAAAAATAAAAATTATTGATATGTATATGTATATATAAAATGCACACATGAACATATGTGTATTTCTCTCATAGGAGCAATTCCTGTTTGGTATGTTTGTTATTTTAAAAATGAAACATAGTAAAAAGCACAGAAAACATGTTAAATTGTGTAATCTCCTACCACCCAGAATTAACCACTTAAATTTGTTGTATATTTCGCTCTTAACCTTTTTGTATGCAAGTAGGAACTCATGTTGGTATCATATACACAGTTTAGTGTCTTCTGTCTTTCATTTAGACCCTATAAGGGGCACCTGGGTGGCTCAGTCAGTTAAGCGTCCACATTTGGCTCAGGTCATGATCCCTGAATCCTAGGATCAAGCCCTGAGCAGAGAGCCTGCTTTTCCCTCTCCCTCTCCCCCTCCCCCTGCTCATGCTCTCTCTCTATATAATAATAAATAAGATCCTTTAAAAAATCTTTAGAGCCCATGGCATAAGCATTTTCCCACATTAATATAATATTCTCAAAAATTCCATGCTAATACTTCATTGCATGCCATGATTTATTAAACCACTTCTTTGTTATTAGATATTTATAAATAATACTGAAAAAGAACATTCTTGAACAAAAATCTTTGCCTTCATTTCAGATTATTTCCTTAGGACAAATTCCTAGAAGTGGAAGGCAGGAACGTTTTTAAGGTTGTCAATACTTGCTGCCAAGTGGCTTTCCAGAAACATTTACCAATTATACCCGCCACCAGCTGCATTGGAGAAGAGCCTTTTGATTCTGTGATTGCAGCAACACCTCGAGCTGGGGGAGGGGCACTGTCCCATCCAAAGCCTCTCTCTCTGGCAGTCCTGACAATGGACCCCTTGTCCTGCTCCCGTCCCCTCTTCCCACACCGCCTTCCATCCCTGGCTCCAGGCTTGACTGTCCTCAAGGCCTCTGTTCAGTCCAGTCCGGTCTTCTTGGCGCTCCAGGCTGCCTCCAAGAGCAGGGTTGGTAAAGCTGAAGGGTGAGAGATGTGCCTGTCCTGTGAGGCTACCACACTTCCAGCCTTGGGGAGGTCCCAAGAGAAAGTTGCAGGGGGAGGGGTGGGTTAAGGTTGCTGACTATCCTTCTCTTTTGGAGAACAACCCCCCCTGAGTCCTGGGCCCAGAGCAGGGATCTGCACATCAAGGAAGGGAAGGTAGAGGCCAGCTTCAACAAGGATGGCTGCAAGGGACTCTGGGCAGCATGCAAATGACATCCATTTCCCTACAGGCTCTGAAGTCCCTCCATGAATCCCAGGAAGAAGGTGGACCTGAAGCTCATCATCATTGGAGCCCTGGGGTAAGCCAAAATCAACTCAGGGTGTGGGAGTTGGGAAGCAGCCCCTACCCAAGGGCAGGGAGACCTCCTGAATATTTCTTACCTACCATGGGTTCCTTTCTGATTCAGCATAGCACCAGGGAGGCCATCCCACCCCAGGAAAGAGAACTCAAATGGGCAAAAGAGCCTGAGAGTAGGGCCACCTGGTTTCTGGTTTATTTGGATGGGTCCCTACTTCTAGAGTCCACTTCCTAAACCCTTCTGCTCACTGGAATCCTTGGACTGCAAATGTCAGAAATTCAGAATCTTGGAGAGATGGCAACAAGAGGGGCATGGCAAGATTCTGAGAATGGTATAGGTGTGTGTATGTGTGTGTTGTTCACACATGTCTGGGGTTTTTTCCTCAGCGTAGGAAAGACCTCCCTCCTCCACCAATATGTGCACAAGACATTTTATGAGGACTACCAGACCACCCTGGGGGCCAGCATTCTCTCCAAAATTATCATACTGGATGACACAACTTTGAAGCTACAGGTGAGCAGCCCTGCCTTTCCCTCTTCAGCATGCATACCTGAAAATCATCCCACAACCCCTAGATAGCCACTCACATAGCCTTGTGCACAAGGAGCTACAAAGGTTTAGAACAGCTGAGTTCAACAAACTTCAACTCATGAACCGGATGTGGTCCACCACCTGTTTTTATAAGTAACATTTTATTGGAACACAGCCATGTCCACTGTTAGTTATGGTCTATGGCTGCTTTCACACTACAACAGCAGAATTGAGTAGTTGCAACAGATGTATGGTCTGCAAAGCCTAAAATATTTACTATGTATCCCTTTAAGAAAAAAAAAATTGCTGATCCCTGGTCTGGGAGGATAAAAAAGGACAAATCCAGGGATTGGGAGGCCCCACTCCCTAGTCTCAGGTTCACTGGAAATTTTGGTAAGTGGCCTTAAACAAGTCACTCCCAAGGCCCAAATCTATCAGATAAGAATAACTGTGCCTGTCCTGATGACCCAGGAGAAAAATGAGAACTCAGATGTGAAAGCATTCTTGGGATGCTAACGGATAGTGCAAAGATGCTATACATGGGTGACAGGGTTAAGATGCCCATGTGTAAAAGGACCACAAGCACCTGTTCCAGGGCTGTCTGCTTCCTACCCAGAAAAGGAAAGTTTGACATCAAATAACCCAGTTGGGCCTACCTCCAGGCACTGATCACAGCCCTATGTGGCGGCTACTCTTCCCCTCCAGATCTGGGACACAGGCGGACAGGAGAGGTTCCGCTCCATGGTGTCCACATTCTACAAAGGCTCCGATGGGTGCATCCTGGCTTTTGATGTCACCGACCTAGAGTCTTTTGAAGCACTGGATACCTGGAGGGGTGATGTTCTGGCCAAAACGATTCCAATGGAACCATCCTACCCCATGGTGGTGCTGGGAAACAAGATCGATCTCGCAGACCGGCAGGTACCATCCATATTTCATTCATTCACCAAACATTGTGTGAGCATCTTGTACATGCCAGGCCCTGTGGTAGGTCCCACACATGTAGAACTGAATCAGACATAGTCCTTACCTTAAGAATCTTGACGTCTCCTAGTGGGTATGGATGCTTTAAACAATGATTATGATAAATACAATGATAGAGATATACCTTGGATATTTAGGAACCACCGTGAAAGGGCGTTTACTTAAGCCCAGAATATAGAAAGGGCTTCCTAGGAGAGTTAGGTTCCAGTCTGAAGAAACAGCATGAGCCAAGGCAAGAAATAGCATGATGCGAGCTGAGAAGTGAAAGCAATTTTGTTTAGAAACAGGGAATGGAAGAATTAAAGCATCAGAGGTAAGCAGGTGGAATTTGAATTAGCATCTAGAACAGTATTTCTACCCAGGGTCAGACAGGGAATTGCAGTTATAAATTCCTGAATCTATAAATTTTCTGGGGAAGTAGTCAAATATATTTTTATTAGCATAAGAGTGTTCCAGATCATCTGGCTAACCGCAGGACACTTGGTCTGCTCCATAGCTACAACGACCGCATTTATGTAGGTGTTTACTGCTATAGTGGAATTGATTAGAGCTCTTTCCTTATTGCTTACTAAAGAGTAAATAATAGAGGTAGACTTAATTTGTAAAAGATACTCTTGTGCCAAGTGAAGTTTAAATGACACCAAAAAGAGCCATTAGAACAAGGTTTTCAAATAGAGAAAAGAAATGAAGAATTGCCATCATATTTGAGCTATGTTTTCACACTAGTTCAAATGGAGAAAAGGAAAGAACCGAGGCATTTTTAAAATGATGGATAGATGTATGCATGGATGGGTGGACAGACAGACAGATGGACAGATTGGATGGATGGATGATGGTGCTTCCAATGAAGCTACCACCATCATTAAGAAGAGCCTTTAGATGTGCTTTAGATTTTTAGATGACCTTAGATGTGCTGAGTTTAAGGAACTTGTAGTACAACTAATTACAGATGACCATGGGCTGTGGAACATACAAGAATAAAACTTCAAAGGTGATGCTTGTGCTGGAAACAGAAATCTCGGCATCATCAATTGTATGGTCACTTCAGGTCGTAAATTTAGTGTCAATTCTCTAACATCCAGTCTCAGATAATAATCAAAGTCCTAAGTTCATTGAAAGGCAAGGTATCTCCCTTTCATTTTCCCACTATAGGTGAGAACAGTGTGGTCTAGGCGGGGGAGGAATGGTCCTTTGCCTCTTGTTGCTAACTTTATGTGTCCACACTTTTTGCCCTTCTCCGGGTAATTCTGGTTTCAAACTCTGTCAGAAACGAAGCAAGAAGAGGGAGAAGAAGTCAGGTTAGCAGGAAAATCCTATTTGATGGGTACTGTCACAAGATAGTTTGTATTCTCTGGCCCCAGCAGCTGTTTCAAGTGGTCTCTCCCATGGGTCTCCTTTGGGTCCTTAAGAAGCCTTCACTGAGAGCATTTAACTGTACCTCCTAAGACAAGTGTCTCACATTTTCCTCCTCTCTCTCCTCGTCTCCTGATTTTTCATCCTCCACCCAACTGGGGGCACCACATCCTGTAGGCAGTCTTCCTAATGGGGTTTACAACAGCTCCAGGCTGGCTAGCTCTCTGTAGAGCCACCTCCTTCACAAGGCTCACCCACAAATCCTGCCTCCCTGTAGGAGCAAGCACAATTCGTTCACACAGAGTCTGTTCTCTATGTGCCCTGTTGCCTTTTGCCTTAGCTCCCTTGGGTGAATGTCAGGCACCTGTCCACTGTATCCACCAAACTCCAGGGGTCGTATGTTAAGCTTTTCAAGTGGCCTCCTAGAAGCCTTCTTTTAGCTAGAGGTGGGCTTTACCTATTCTCCGTCTTGCGAGAAGGGAAGATGTATACCCAAAACACAACTCTCTCCAAAGAAATCCTTTCTAATCTTCCTTTCAATCTTTTTATATCCATGTTGTGGGTTTTAGAGTCACCTAACAATTTCTGGGTCATGAAGCTTTGGAAACATGTGAGATCCCAGGGCGATCTGTCTCCCAACCTACTTTATATCTGACATCTATCAAATTGCAGCACCTTTACAGAAACTTCCATTTTAACATCCTGTTTCATGAGTCTGTAGGTCATAGGATGGGAAGTTGAGAGAGTCCAAGGCTGAGAGTCTGATTTTTTCTCACTGAAATCAGAGGCACCATCTTCTGTTGAGCAGGAGGAGGAAGGGAACCAAGTAGAAGTCTCAGGAATCATGGTGAAGCTTTGCCAGTTATTTTGGAGAAAGTCAAGGACAAAGATTAGAACTAGTGGGTGACACTAGGGGCTCAGTGAAAAAAGGAGACCAGGAATTAGAGCTGGCATCTGGGCTGGGTTTTTCTCCAGCAGCCACTTGTGGGTTGAGAGCCAGGAATGAGGGACCTGGGACTCAGGCGTTTCCAGACAAGAATAGCTGCAGAGTCGAAGGGTGGGGACACTGACAAGCCACCAAGGAAAGAGAGACAAGGGGAGGTGTGAAGGAGCAGGCAGCTCCAGTGTCCAAGGTGGAAGGGATGAGGCAGAAGGAAGTTGAGAGGAAGGAGACTGTGTCACAGAATGGGAGGCCAGATTCAATATTTGGTGGAGGTCCTGGTCAGGCCCCAGGAAGAAAAGGCTGAAGTGGAGAGAAGATGCGTTCTGTTGGAGGGACAGGAATCGGGAGGCTACTCAGAGAGATGGGGGCCAAGGGGCGAGGATGGAAACAGGAAGGATGGAAAGAGCAGGCGATGCCTCGGAGGGGTGGAGGGGTCCATCCAGGCCTTAGGAGAGGAGATTTGCTCTGCGGAGAGAGGAAGGAGAGAGATTTGGAAGAAGCGGAGAGGCCCCAGGACAGCCCAGCCCCATCCCTGGGATCTGTGGCAGCGGGTAGGGAGATGGGCCCCTGGACTAGGCCCGCAGGGGGCACAGAGAGCCTAGGAAGAGCTGGAGCTCAGCCGAGACAGGGAAGTGAGAGCGGGCCCCGGGGGGGGGGGGGGGGAGCAAGGGGAGCCCATCTCCCCGCAGGCAGGCCCGGGGAGGGGCCCGTGGGGCAGGTGGAGTGGGCGCCTCGCGAGGGGGAAGCGCTGGGCAATAGGGCGGGAGTGGAGAGGAGGAACCGGGAGCCAGAAGAGGGGAGGCTGCGGGGCGCTGCCCCCAGGGCCCCTGTTGTGGCCCCGCTTAGCAGAGGGGGTGGGGAACAGCAGAGAGACCTGCTCTGGCCGCTCCCTGGCCCAGGGGTGAGGGGGTGAGAGCCGACCCCCCCCCCCCCAGGCAGCGCCTCCTCCCGGCTCTCCCGCAGGCTCCCTGTGTGCTCCAGCGACCTCAGCGACCTCAGCGACCTCAGGGGGGCCAGGGAGTCCCGTGCAGATTTCCCGAGTGGCCTGGGGGTGAGGGGAAGGTGCCTGTGCCTGTGCCTGTGCAGCACGGGGCAAGCCTCGTCCGTGGAAGCCACGGTCAGCCTCCCTCTTATTTTCTCCAAGGGATGGGCTGAGAAAACACAGGAGTTTTTCTCACTTAATAAAAAGGAAATTACTGTTTAAAACTTTATGGCTGGATTTAGGATGAGGAAAAAGTCTGGAGGTGGTTGGGAGTGATACCATCCACACCCGACGACCGGACTGTGCCTAGTGCCACTGAACTGTGCGCTTAAATATAGTTAAAATGGTACCTCTTGTGTTTATGTATATGTTGCCACAATAAAATAAAATACATATGCATGCATGCATTATATATATATGGATATATATATCACATGATTGATTTTTTAATTGCTGACTTTTAAAAAAATCCCTATTCTTTCTATAGAAGGAAATAGTGGAAAAATATTAGTTTGATAGAAAGAACAGCTCTGCTAGCACCCATTCTACAAAGAATTCATTCACAAGAATGTGAATTCTTTGCTTTATGCTCAGGTAGGCAATTTCTGACTCATCACCGATCCATAACGTGGGAATTGTATTTTCTGAAAATATTCTCTGTTATTTTTGGTAGTGCTCTAAGATGTATGTGACACACTAATTTTGATTTTGATTTTATACAGTTGGTCCTTTAAAATGAATATGAGCTGGAAAGGCATCATATGTAAAATTATGCAAACTGAGCTAGTTTTGTCAAATGTTTGGCCTCTAAGAAATAATCAAAATTATAGCAGAAGGAAAATGTTAATAGTATATACATACTGCCAAGCAAAAGCAAAAGTAACCAAAGTAATGCTTTCAAAACTTCCTTATTTCCCAAGTGCCCACATACTACACCCTGAGTTGATTTCCACAGTCAGAGCCTAAATGATAAAGAACTATTATTTTGTAAATAAATAAAAGACAAGACCATTTAAACAATCATGAAACCGTAACAAGAACTGGAAGTGGACAGTGAAAGGCGCCGGCTGGGTGGCTTTCTTCCCAGGCAGGCTGGTTGAGGTGGCGTGGGGGAGGAGGAGGGGTACAAAAAAAAAAAGGTTAATTTGCAACATAATCTCAACTGACATTTTGAAGCGTGTATTTAACCACTTCGTATAAACGCTACAGAGAAAGATCAAGGGCAAATGAGATAAAACATCTGTCACAACCAGGCACCAGACAGGTCCTGTCACTGTCCAGTGGGAGAGAAGGGAGCCGAGACCAGCAGGTTGCTGCTGAGGCTTGTCTTCCCAGCTCTGTTGCTGGGTTCGTTGGTCACTAATGGGGCTTCTGCTTCTCACGCCATGAAATATAAAGAATATCTCTACAGCCTGGAGAAGCAGAGGCCTTGACTTCTTTTCACTTGACTTCAGTTTTTACCGCAACTCCTGCATGTCGCTGTTCTTTTCAGTCAAATGCTCATCACCTGGTGGGGGCAGAGGGATGGGGGTGGATAGAAAAAGGAAGGCACTATAAGAAGTGTAAGTCTGGTCCTTACACTTGAGGACTTTTTTTGTTTTAAGATTTTATTTATTTACTCATTAGAGACACACAGAGACATAGAGGGAGAAGCAGGCTCCCTGTGAGGAGACTGATGTGGAACTCGATCCCAGGACCCTGGGATCACGACCTGAGCCAAAGACAGATGCTCAACCACTGAGCCACCCAGATGCCCCACACTTAAAGATTTTTGAAAGATAGGAAGCCCTTTGCATTTCTAAGGCACCACCCCGGTACAATGTGTTAGTTTCTAATGCTTATTTATTTGTGGTTACTGGTAAGGACAAGACAAATCACCAGCCACTCTTGACCCTTCCTCCAAAGAGTTTAGAATGTTCCTGAACTGTGAGGCTTCTTGGTTGCTCACCAGGCCTTGGGCATCTGAGCTCCACGAAAGGAAGCTGTCCTGGACAGTTCCTGGGCCCTTCCCATATAGGCAAGAGGGTCTAGGAGATCAGAGGCCAAGACCAAAGCCTGGGGTCCCCCCAAAAAAGCCTGGGCATGCAGTATGGAGGTATCTGCTAGCCCCCCAAAGGGCAGGCTGCTTAGCTGACCCCAGGCTGCACCCTCTAGTCTCAAGTGGAGAGCCTCCCAATGCCGCCGCAATGCTGGTGTCAGCAGAGGCATTGGGGGAGACAGCTGTGACCCCCTGGTATTGCCGTCACTCTTGAGACCAGGGAAGCAGGAACCAAAGAGACAAGGGCCAGTGATGCTTCCTTTAATCCGGATGAGACAGTCATTCCTAGAACCTGCAGGAGTGAGGGAGGCAGTCTCTGATTCCCCCCCCACCCCCCTCCGGCCACTCTGTCTTCTGGGAGAGAGACAGTGTCCTTTCTCCATGATAAAAACCCCGGCTCCCTTAAGTAAAACGAAATCATGGTTATAAAGTACCAAGCACAGCAAATGTTCGATATGGAGCCATTTCCTCCTCCCTGAATTAATTAATTAGGCATTAAATTAAATGGCTCCAATTGTCTTTGGAAGTAACTCACGGGGCTGCCAGGCACTTTCCAAACCAACATGCTCAAACTCTGATCTGCCGTTTGCAGTGAGATAGAGATGTCCTCGTTCCACCTGTACCGAGTGGCCCATGGTGCCAGGCCAAGAGCTGAGCTCAAGGAGCTGATGGTCTAGTGGGAGAGGCAGAAGGGACACAGTCCTCCTGCGGTGCCTTGAAGAGGGCAGCTCCGATGCCACCAGGCCCTGAGCTGGGCTCCGTTCAGCTCTGCATTTTTTTTTAAAAGACTATTTATTGGGATCCCTGGGTGGCAGAGCGGTTTGGCGCCTGCCTTTGGCCCAGGGCCCGATCCTGGAGACCCAGGATTGAATCCCACATCGGGCTCCTGGTGCATGGAGCCTGCTTCTCCCTCTGCCTATGTCTCTGCCCCTCTCTCTCTCTCTCTCTCTCTCTCTCTCTGTGACTATCATAAATAAATGAAAATTAAAAAAAAATTTAAAGACTATTTATTTATTCATGAGAGACACAGAGAGAGGCAGAGACACAGGAAGAGGGAGAAGCAGGCTCCTCACAGGGAGCCCGATGCGGGACTCGATCCCGGGACCCCAGGATCACACCCTGGGCTGAAGGCAGCTGCTCAACCGCTGAGCCATCCAGGGATCCCCAGCTCCACCTTCTCAGCTGTGTGATCTGAGGCAGGTCGCTAAACCCCTCTGAGCCTCGGTGTTCTTATCTATAAAGTGGAGCTAATAAGACCCACCCCACAGGCTCTTTGGCAGGACTGCTTGAGCTAATACGACAAGCTATCTACCATGGTATCGGTCCCCTAGAAGTAGCTCATCAACAGTTCCCAGGACTCTGCCCTGGGGAAAAAGGGTTAGCAAGGACCTGAGTCACTGCTCAGCAACAGACCTCCCGGGCCCAGGCCCTAGCCGGCTCTGGGGACGGAAGTCCTCCACCCCTGCTCGTGGCCATCATGTTCATCTCCTTTTGGAGGGACTGATGAAGACGCCAATGGCAGAGGGGCGCCTCGTGTGGGCCTTAGGAAAGCAGCATAGTTCAGCAGGCTCGAATTCTGCCAAGTTGTATTCAAGTCCTGCTCAACCCCACACTCTGAGCACAGTCCTCAGCTTCCCCATTTGGAAAATGGAGCTAACAATAATCAGCTCGGAGATTTATGTTAAGAAAGAGTGTGTGGGGACGCCTGGGTAGCCCAGCGGTTTAGCACCACCTTTGGCCCAGGGCCTGATCCTGGAGACCCGGGATCGAGTCCCACGTCGGGCTTCCTGCAAGGAGCCTGCTTCTCCCTCTGCCTGTGTCTCTGCCTCTCTCTCAATGTGTCTCTCATGAATAAATAAATAAAATCTTAAAAAAAAACAAGAAAGAAAGAATGCGTGTAACACATGGAAGGTTCTTGATAAATGGGAGTACTGGTGGGGATGGTGGGAGGTGACAGTGGGCAATATGATGAGGGTGGGGATGGTAGCAGCAATGATACAGGGACAGTCTTCCTTTCATTCAGGTGCCTCAGGAGGTAGCTCAAGGCTGGTGTAAAGAGAAGGATATTCCCTACTTTGAAGTCAGTGCCAAGAACGACATCAATGTGGTACAAGCCTTTGAGATGCTGGCCAGTCGGGCTCTGTCCAGGGTGAGTGACTATGGTGGCAGCACCTGCCAGGGCCTGTCTCCGGGGATGGGAAGCTCAGGAGCTTCCAGAGAAGAACACACTGGGCACAGACAGGGGTGTGGGTAGGACAGGATTGTTCATTGTCTTAGTTCCTAAGTGGGCTCAGCAGTACCCCGACTCTGAGCCCCAGGGTCCCGGAAGTATAAAGCTACCTTGGAGTACATAGCTGCTGGCCTCACGGTGTGGCTGATTGTCATTGATGGAGTTTCTAAAACATACAGTTTCCGCACCTCACCTCGGACATTCTCATGTAGTAGGGGTCTGAGAAATGATGATCTAGTTCAATCCGGACTGGTAGGAGAGAAGCTCCACAGTGCCAAGCATCTGTCCAGGTGGGAGATAAGCCTGCGGGGGTTGCTGACACCCTCCTGTCAAACATATGTGTGGACTCCCTGTGGTTAGTGTGTCGTCTGTGCTGGGCAGTGTGCAGGGCTCGGGGCCCCTTGCCCTCCTGAGACAGTCTGATAGGCCCACATGTGGTCACAGTCCAGGTGTAAGGTGGGGAAGGATTCAGTGGGGGGCCCAGAAGGGGGCACACAACCCAACCGTGAGGGAGGAGAGAGGGGAAGAGGGGAAGGTCAGTGAAGGCTGCCCGGAAGCAGGAGCAGGGTTTTCATCCTTTTCTGATAGGGAGTCTAGAAACTCAGAAGAGGGTTCATGAGTGATTAGCACAGGGAAGGGATCAGCTTGGCTCAACATTCTGCCACATTTAATCAGGGTGGGCTTCCCAGAAGAGGGGAGAAGCTCATTGTGGCAGTGACTTTGAATTGAGGAAAGGGGCATTGGGAGGTCGAGGGTTCCTCTATGGGGAAGTGCCCGCCCTCATCTTGGTGACCTGCTTCCCGGCCTGGTGCTGCCAGCTGCCCTGGAGAGAAGCCCTCCCACCAGGGAGAGGGGCGGGGAGAAGCCCCGAGCGTGCCATCCACACATCTCAGAGCCTTCATCTCACGGTGTGCCCCCACAGACTATTTTTACGCTTCCCCTCCGGCCGCTGTCTCGTGTTAGGGGGAAGCTGGGGGTGTCCATCTCTAGCACATGATCAAGGGGTGTGGCTTAAATGACACAGCCTGCAACGTTGGCTCTTAAGCCACAGATGGCCCTGCTCACGTCATTCCCCAGAAAGCTGAGGAATGTTATTTGACCTTGTATGGTGATGCGGGTTAAACGATCCTCCACAAACATGGTATAGTCATTGCCAAACGCTTAGTCACGGGGAAGCCTCACCAGCCCAGAGCCAGTGTCTGCATGTGGTCAGCATCCATCCTTTCTGAAGAAGGAGTGTCTTTCACTCTTAAAGTTATATCTTCCTTGCTGCGCCAACTTTCTGAAGCTTTTCTGCTGGTTTTGCCATCGTTGTTGTTGTTTTAATATCCGACTTGGCAAAAGAGTAGCTTAGCAATGGCAGGTCTGGTGTCAATGGCGGAAATTTACTGATGAGAAGTTTGCAAGTCACAGGTAGGGTGTCCACAGTCATACAGGCCTGCATTTGAATCCTGCCCTCGTGCTTTCAAGTGGACCCCTGGGCAAAATGTTGTGACTCCTCTGAGTCTCGGTTTCCTCATCTGTAAAACGGAAATAATGCAGTCCCATAAGCATTTATTGAGTTGTCAGGCTAGGGCTGGAGATACGGCCCTTGGTGACTCTAAGGTCAGGTAGAGAAGGAAGGCATTCACAAACAGGCTGTCATAGAGGTAAGTGCCCCAGAGGGAGCAAGGTCAAGGCAGGGAGATGACTCAGTCGTGGCTGGTAGTGAGGGTGGGTGAGGATGCTACCCAGAGAAGTGGCATGTGACCTGGGTGTTGAAAGACAATCCGCAATTTGCAGGTGGACATGGGAGGAGGGAGGGTGGGGGCAGGATTAGGACAGAGAGAAGGGCATGGCCAGAGGCCCGGGCACCAATCCATGGGCTCATGTGAGGAACCAGCTGTGGGTCCATCTGTAGAAGGAAAGGTGGCATGAAGACAAGCAGGGGTGTAGGGTGAGTGAGGGAGCCCACAAGGTCAACAGCGCAGATCATGAGCACCTACCAGGACTTGGACTTCATGCTGCAGGTGCACGTTGTCCAGAAGGTGCTGCTGGACCCGAGGCACACGGGGGCTCACCAGGCACCTTGACGCCCCACAGGGCGTGCCTTTTACTCAGAAACTTGAAGGAGAAATCTTTTCACATAAAACAAAACAAACATAATTACTAGAGCATAGGATGTAAAATTCTCACAGATTTTTAAAGCGAAACTAGAGTACCCACATCTCTATTTTAAAGTCAGACAAGTCTTCAAACACATTTTCTACAAAGGCCTTTCCTTGCTTCCCAGGGAGGTAGTCAGAATGTTTGAGAAGGAGATGTGAGGGTGGCAATGGGAGCGAAGCCTCAGGCTGGGGTGGGAGGAGCTGGGGCTCCAAAGCCCAGTAGATCTGAGTTTAAATCTTGGCTCAACCTCTTGCTCACTGTGTGTCCTAAGGCAACTCATGCAGCCTCCCTAAGCCACCACTTCCCTCTCTTTAAAGTACAAATAATAGTATCTTCCTACTGGGGTTGTTGCAAGGGCCGAATAAAGCAACTCACCATACAGAGAAGGCATTAAACAAAAGATAACTTTTTAAAGAATTTTATTTAAATTCAATTTGCAACATATAGTATAACACCCAGTGCTCATCTCGTCATGTGCCCATCCCCTAGTTACCCCATCCCCCACCCACCTCCCCTTCTGGAACCCTGTTTTAAAACAGGAGCTATGTATAAGGGTTTCCAGCAGGGAGTTGCCCGCTTCATGGGGGATGAGCCCAAGGGTTGGTTGAGAAGATACTGCAGTAGTCCAAGCAGGACAGAATGGAAATGCCAGGACAGGGTGGATTAAACACTAAGGAGAGAGAACCTTAGGGGTTGATGACGGTCAAATGTAGGAAAGAAGGAATCAGGAGCTGCTTAGGTCAATGACTGGGTTCCCAGCTTGGCGATCAGAGGCATGATTGAGTAGAATGCTAGGGACCAAGCCACAGAAGAGAGGAGAAAGCAGGGGCATCGCAAGAGGAGAGGGCAATGCAGTCCATGGGGGCACATGACATTCATGATTCCTCGAAACGTCCGAGTTGTGCATGAACACCGCTTGGAAAGAGTGATTTGTGAGTTCGGCACCAGCATAGGTACTCCGCTAACATTTCAATAGGAAAGATGTAGGATACTTAGTTATTCCAAACTATAACTAAGCATGCCGTCATGGTCAGAGAAGGGACACCACCTGCTTAAGGGGATTTGGGATGAAGAGATTTTGCTCTTGCCAAGTTGGCACTACCATCCCTGCTGGGACTGGTCAGGCCTGAGCCCGTGACCTGCCTTGCCGCATGGAGGCCCGGTTCCTTTGAAGCTAACTAGAGACAGACATGATGGCCATGCCCAGGAGGGGAGCAGGCTGGCTGGCTAGCAGGTAAGCTTGGTGAAACTAGGACCTTTTTGAGGTCCTCCAGATGCAGGAATGAATGGTAGGGCCACTGAGGTGACCAGGCTGGAAGGGACAGGCCGGCACAGTCACATCTCTTAGGTGCATTAAGGTACGTGCATGAGGATTCAGTGTGACTTTACAGCTCAATTCGCACGTTGCCGTTGCCAGGGGACAGGGGCCCAGAGAAAAGAATTACCCAGGAGACCTAACCGTGTCCCTCTGGTTACTTGAAAGTTTTGTGTGAGCGAGATGATGCTATTATGAGCTGAAATGATGTCACAAATGGGAAGCACTCCGGTGACTTGGACCCGTGGAGGTGTGACTATTATTGGGTGAAGAAAGCTGGTGTGAAGACCTCAGGCTTTGCCAAGGCAACAAATGAGGAAGTTTCTCAAACCTTCCGGAGAGACGGCATTCCATTTGAATCTAGAATAAAATGCAAGGGAGCTTGGAAAGCCCAGCAGCTCCTCGGGGCATTCTAAGTCTCCTTCCTGAAGGTTGGCATTGTAGACAGTGGCACAGGTTTCTGTTCATAAGGGCCTCTAGGGTCCCAGCTGGGTCTCAGGTGGACATGAGGGTGGGACACGCTCGAGGGGGTAAAGAATCCATAGGCCCTGCTTCCTGGGTCCAAAGGTCCAATTAGGAAAGTTCCAGACACCAGGGAGGCATCCAGAAAATGCCAAACAATAAGAGAATCCTTCTAAATCCTTCCAGGGAGAGATGGATCGCTCAGTGTAAAGGGGAACTTAGCCAGTGATGCTCCACTCTTCCTCACTGGGAGGTTTAGAAATGTCAGAGTTTTACCTACTTTCGCTCCATGGAGGGAGAGGGCCCCGCACACAGCAGAAGGGGCTCGCTGGAGGACTGGACATGTCCGGGGCTGCAGAGGCTGGAGCCGACACGCCAGGCCTGGGCAGTGCTGGGGATAAAGAGCCCCTCGGCCCTATTTTCTCTTCTCAGATACCTTGGGTGGGACTCCACTCTCTCAGGGTGAGAGCTAGGGAAGCTCTGTGGTGCCCCGGGTTGAGTTTGTCAGCAACGGGCTTGGATCCTCCCCAGCAGAGGAGGAGATCCATCTGGAGTGTGGGGACATCTCCAGAGAGACAGAGCATTGGCCGAGCATACACTGTCCCCCTCTCCCCCCCATACTAATCGTTCCTGTTAAAATAATAGTTATTATTTTATATATATAAATTCTAATAACTCTAAATAACTTGGCTAGGGCTGCTTAAGGCCCATCACCCAGGCTAAGATACTGGGGCTCTCAAAAAACAAACTAGATGGCAAAGAGCTTTATCCCAGCCCAGTATCATGAACTCCACATGGCAGGCTAGATGACCACTCAGTCTGGGGGTGGCAGTGAGTCATGGGACATGGGAAGACCGTCTCATGTATCTCGGGAGCCACCATCATCAGAATGAAGCAAGTGGGGCCTGACACCATCCCTTGGGACCCAGGGCCATAGCCTGAAGGGCCGTGACATTCCCCAGTGGTGGAGGGTGCTGCTCAGGTCCACACCCAGGTAGTGAGAGGCACTCACACGCACACACACAATACAGTTGTGTGGGGCATGGATGTCTGAGCCTGGTGACTGGTGAAAGCCTGGCAGAGTAAAGAGATGGGGTCCCTTTAGGAAGAGACCCCTTAATGTGGTATACGTACAATGGAATATAACTCAGCCATTTACTTCGACGTGGATGGAACTGGAGGGTATTATGCTGAGTGAAGTAAGTCAATCAGAGAAGGACAAGGATCGTAAGGTTTCACTCATATGGTATGTGGAATATAAGAAATAGTGAAAGGGGTTATAAGGGAAGGAGGGGAAACTGAGTGAGGAAAAATTAGGGGAGGAAGACAAACCATGAGAGACTCCTAACTCTGGGAAATGAACAAAGGGTTACAGAAGGGGAGGTGGGTGAGGGGATGGGGTGATTGGGTGATGGGCACTAAAGAGGGCAGGTGATGTAATGAGCACTGGGTGTTACACTATATATTGGTAAATCAAATTTAAATATTTTTTTTTAAAAGAAGAAGACTTTTAGCCCTAGAATTCATCTCCTGGAGGAAGGGCCTGCTTGCCCCTCACCCCGCCCTCACCCCTGAGCCAAGCAGGGGTGGGTCCTGGGAGGGAAGTTGTCAGCTGGAAGGGGAGAGGCTTTCTCTGCATGTTGTTGGGACACAAGTATTTGGGAGAGTGGGCAGAGAAGCAAATAGACCCAGTGGAAACGCCGAGTCTACTTTAGGGAGGACAGAGGCTGTGGGAAGGGTTGAGGATTGACTGGGTTTCTCTAGGTGCCAAGGCGGCGGTGAGTAGGGGAGGCTAGGAGGTGGACATGCCAAGAGAAGGTGGGGGTATGGAGGGTGTTTGTGGGGACAGGCCTCCAGCAGAAATAAGGAGTGGGTTGTCATCATCTCTGCCTGAGGTCAAATGTCACCTCCATTACTCCCTCTGGAGAATGGAAGGCTATGGGACCAAGGCCACCCCACTGGTCCAGGCTCCTGGGAAGAAGCTGGAGGGGGTGGTGAGGAAAGAAGAGGGTGGGGAAGACAAGTGCCCACACCCCCATCCCACCCCCGGGCCTCAGCTTCCTAACAGGGCAATAGGGAAGGAATAAAAAGCCTGACCACCAGCAGCCAGTAAGCAACAGAAAGGAGGTAAGGCTCTTTGCCTTTCAGGATGTCAACTCTGGTTTCTTTTTCCCTTCCCCAGTATCAGAGCATCTTAGAGAATTACCTCACAGACTCCATCAAGCTCTCACCAGAAGACCAGTCCAGGAGTCGGTGTTGCTAATCTTCCAGACTCCCACCCTGATGCTCCGACGAAGCCCCTGGGGCCTGGGCATCCAGGCCCCCACCAGCCCCCTGCCCACTCAAGCTCAGCCCAAGCAGCCGAGGCTAGGCAGCCAGAGCCCTTGATGAGGATGGGGCTGGGCCACCAGAGCCCCTGCCTGAACCCAGAATGTCACAGCCGAATCTTGGCCCTGGAGGAGTCACAGTCCCCTCACTGGCTCCAGCCTTCCGGCTCCCCCTGCCCCCAAACACACTCCTGCTCCAGAATGCACATCTCACAGGCAGACAGGCCGGAGTCTGGACTCTGGAGTCCTACTGTCCTCTCCTGTGTACAGGTGGGCCTTCCTTGCCCATGCCACCAGTCACCTGCAAAGCCACAGCACAGCTGGGACAAGGGCACAGCTCAGGCTATCTTGGTGACTAGGCCAGGAAGTGAGGGCCTAGGTCTCATGTGAGGGCCTGCCTCAACCCCTGGTGGCCACTCTTCAGGCCTGGAACACTGCTCTGCTCCCTCCAGGGCATAGGAAAATGCCCAGGAAAAGGCACCAAGGACTGGTTCATTCATCTCTGCTGGACACTCAGACAACTCCTCTAAATCTCTCTGAGCCTTGGCTTGCTCATCTGTCAAATGGGGGTGGTGTGTGCCCTGCCCACATCAGACTCTATGATTCTGAGGACCAGAAGCTCCGCTTAAATCTCAGTTGCTCTTGCTGCTCTCCTGGACCTGACATTCTGATAAGGGAGAGAAGCAGTACACACAGAATTTAAACAGATATTTTCCAAGAGTAGATAAGTGCTTGAACAAAGCAAACAAGGTATTGGAATAGAAAAGGACAGGAACTGAGGTTGGTGCTATTTCAGACAAAATGGTCCTGGAGGGCTTCCCTGAGGAGGTATCCTTCGGCCCAGGACTAGAGAATGAAGAGCGGACTGCCACTAGAGACAGAGCATTCCAGGGAGACGGCGCGGCAGGAGCAAGGCCCCGAGGTGAGGACAAGCTTGATGTGTTCCAAGAGCAGCAAAAGGACATTCACTGACCTGAAGACTCAAAGCTGGTGTCCCAGAGAGGAGCAAAGGAGACTCCGCCCCCGGGTGGCCCCTTGATCTTCTGGTGATTGGCCTCCAGAGGGCAGCAGTGTCCTTCCCTCGCAGGCTGAGTGGCCAGTGGCCGCTGCAGGACACCTGAAAGGGAGGCTTTTCTCTCTGTGCTCATCCTCAAAGCTTGTTCTCAGGCTGTGGGATTGTTTAAGCCGGTGAGATTCGTGGGGCAGGAGAATCCCAATTTCTTTTTTTTTTTTTTCCCGATTTCTTAAACCTAGTAAGAAATGGGCAAAAAACTGAAACATTAATGATTCAGGCAAGAAATCCTTACCAGTGACAAATACTAGAATGAGAGACCTAGAAAACTCATGGGCTCCCTGTCCGTGCAGACTCTTCTGGCATAGACAGCATGGACAGGGCCCAGCCTGAAGGGGGTGGACGAGATGACCACTCAGAGGCTCCCAGGCCGCATCAATGCCCACCATGGAAGTCTCCTGTCTGCACAGAGGTATCCTGCCCTGAGCTCCAAGCAGAGCTGGAATGTTAGGGTAGGACTTCTGATGTCATCTGACTCTGAAGATCCTCCCAGAGGTAGGGAATCCTGGGAGGGGAGGGGTCAGCAGGAGAGTTTGGGGAGCCTCATCTCCCCCACCCAGCTGTGGAGGAAGGACAGGCTTGGATCTGGCATACGAGCAGGTGGCGGGGAGCAAGCCACTGTCTCTGTGTCCATGGAGTGGCATATGAATGTTTCTAAGTGCATGCAACAAATAATAAATGTGTCCTTCTTTATTTTTTTCCTTTTTGGTATTTTGTTATTAGGTTTAAAAAGCAAACAGAGGCACCTGGGTGGCTCAGTCAGTGAACTGTCAGCCTTTAGCTCAGGTCATAATCCTGGGGTCCTGGGATGGAGCCCCACGTTATGCTCCTGGCTTAGCAGGGGACCTGCTTCTCCTTCTCCCTCTGCCTGCAGCTCCTCCTGGCTTGTACACTCTCTCTCTCTCAAATAAATAAATGAAATCTTTAAAAAAAATAATAAAATAAAGCAAAAAACAGACATGTTTCCGTAGTTCGGAATTGAAAAGATACTAAAGAGAAGACAACAAAAAGGTAAAATAGGACGGGCTTACATAGCTGACGGGGCCCAGGGCAAAATGAAAATGTCCCGTCACTTGTTAAAAAATGATTAAAAACTTCAAGACAGGGATCCCTGGGTGGCGCAGCGGTTTGGCGCCTGCCTTTGGCCCGGGGCGCGGTCCTGGAGACCCGGGATCGAATCCCACGTCGGGTTCCCGGTGCATGGAGCCTGCTTCTCCCTCTGCCTGTGTCTCTGCCTCTCTCTCTGTGTGTGTGACTATCATAAATAAATAGAAATTTAAAAAAATAAAAAAATAAAAAATAAAAAAACTTCAAGACAGTGACAGAGGATCTTTAAACCGAGCACGCGGTCCTTGGAGAGCAGGTGACACACACCCGAAGCTGTCTCTGAGGAGGCAACTATGTTGTCAGGATCCTCCCGAACGACAGAGGCCCTGGCCAGGCCCACCTGGGCGGCTTGAGGATGAAGGGTCCTGTCTTTGCGAGAGCCACGTGGAGATTCGACCCCAGGCCTAAACTGAGCATTTTGAGCTCCATCCAGAGTCAGGAGCAGAACAGGACTTTCCATGTGGGAGGGCAGAGCGCCCCCACTCCTGAGACTGAGACTGGCCCTCGGTACAAACCCAGTCAGACCCAGTCAGGGCGGGTGTTGGCAGCGGGAAGCCACATGTGGGGGCTGTGACCTGGGCTAAGTGCAACCACCGGAGCGCAGAGGGTGGTGGGCAGCAGTTCCTGGGCCCCTCGGTCACCACCTCTTCAGAGAAGAGGACTCCAATTCCTAAGACTGCTCTGACCCAGGCCACCCTGTACCACCCCGGCCCTGCTCCAAGGGGCAACCCCAGGCTGCTAACGATCCAGGTCAGAGCTTGGGTGGCACACGCCCCTGGGGCTCGCGGGGGGCGGTGGGGGGGGAACAAATCTTATCATCCAATAATCCTGGGCTGGGCCTGCCTGGCGGCCACACTGCCCAAAAAAATTTAGCGAAATGCTGATTTTTCATTTGCTCCCACTGGGCAGAGTCCCCCTCACTGCCCTGCCACCAGCCACAGGCAACTCCCAGCAAAGTCAGATGAGTGGCCAGCACCCACAATGCTGTCTTGTGGCAACACAAAGGCCAGTGGCAGCCACGGAACAGCCGTGCCAGCAGGGACACCCAAAACTAGCAGCCATGCATGGCTGGCCCAGCCGTGACAGTGGGCTGAGGACATGAGGACTTGCCTGCGGTGTGCACACCTGGAGGCTCCCTCGAGGACATGCGCTGGTGGGGAGAAACATGTGTGTATGTATCTGCGTGGTGTGTGTGGTGTGTGTGTGTGGTGTGTGCGTGGAGCAGTGTGTACATCCAAGTCTGTGGGGGGGGTGCTATATGAGCGTGCATGGAGCAGTGTGTGCGGCATGGGGGGGCTTGTGTGGGAGGTGGGGAGGGAAGGAAGCAGGGACTTAGAGGGCCAGTGAATTTCCCTTGTTAAAGTACAGAGAAATCACAAACAAGTTCATCAGACTGGAGGAAAGCAAGAAAATAGGTGAAGGCGTGAGGGGTGAGGAGTGGAACAGTAGCTGCGAGAGCCTTCCTCGTGTCTGCCCACGGAGGAGGGGTTAGCCTCCGGCTCAGAGGAGATGCCCTCCTAAGTGTTTGTCTGTATGCTCTTAGACTGTAGGCTCCCTAAAGGCTGTTTTGATTCATCATTTGAACCCCAGCGCTGAGCAAAGAGATTGGCACACAGTAGATGATACATAAATATTGTGCAATGCAACGATGTACCACAGTCATTAAAAAGAACGATGGAACGTTCTGTATAATGACATGGAATACAACATCCAAGCAGCATCGTTACATGAAAAGGCAATGGTGGAATCACATGTATAAAATGCTACCTTTTTGGTAAAAAGAGGCCTCAAGAAGACTTTATATTCATTTTTTGCTTGTACAGAGAGAAAACTCTAGAAGGATGCATAAGAAACTAATAAAAGTGACTACCTTTCAGAGGGGGAACTGGGCAAGTTGGAGTCGGATATAGGAGTAAGACTCTGCTTATATAATCTTATACTTTGAATTTTTAACTCTTTGTATTACGGAATCAAACATTTTTAAAAAGGAATGGGGGCACCTGGGTGGCTCAGTCGGTTAAGCGTCTGCCTTCTGCTCAGGTCATGATCCCAGGGTCCTGGGATGAAGCCCCACATTGTGCTCCCTGCTCAGCAGAGAGCCTGCTCTCCCTCTCTCTCCCTACCCCACCCCCAGTTTGTGCTCTCTCTCTCTCTCTCTCTCAAATAAATAAATAAAATCCCTCAAAAGGGAGGAGGGATGAATATTGGTGGGAGAAAGAAGGTGCAGAAGAACGAGCAGGGAGAGAGGTGGAACTCCAACCAGGACCTAGCTGCCTTCCGCCAGTTACAACACACAGCCTTGAATCCGAGGCTGACATAATTGGATTCTGTCATAAAAGAAGGACACACGTCTAAGAAATTCCCCAAGCCCACATGCTCTGGCCAACATGCCAAGTGTCCCATGTGAGACAAGATCAGCTGGGACTTTTGGGTTGCCTGGGATGTTGGTCAATAACTGAACAGGTGTTTCCAACCCCAGAGGCTCCAGTTTGCTCACTGCTCTGTGCATTACCTTGTGAATGACTACATTCAGGGGTAGGTATTCCCCAAGGTTAGTATCGAGACTTACCAGATAGTCAACCCTCTGGAGCCCACTTTCCTAAGCCAGACAGTGACCCGAGAAATGATCCTCTTCCAAGGATGGGCTCCAAGATAAACTGGTACAGCTACTTTGGGGCTTTATTGAATAAAAGCACCACATCCAGACTCTATGATCCTGTAATTCCACCCCTGCACATATATAACCCTTGCAGGTGGACACTAGAGACATGATCAAGAATTTTCTTTGTAGCATTGTTTGTAATAGAAAAAAAGAAAAAGGCAAGGAAAAAGCAAGAAAACAAAACAAAACTGGAAACGACCCAGATGTTCTTCAACAGAAAAGTAGACGAATAAAATGTGATATATTCAAATAATGGAATTTCACAGTAGTGGAAATGAATAAACTAAAGCCACATACATCACCTGGGTGAATCTCAAAAGCACAGGGAAGATAACAAGGCACAGAAGGAGACGTAAGTTACCATTTACGTAAAGTTCAAAAGCAAGCAACACTATACGGTTTATCTTCACACATGTTTATCACCAACACATCTGGTAAAACAACATAGAACAATAAAAAAAAAAAAACATGCAAACAAAGAGATGAGGAGCCCAAAACTTGGGAAGCAGTTAGCTTGCATGGAGGTCAAGGTTGTGGAGAAGCAAGGGAATGCAATTGGCACCAGACACACAAGGCGACTGAACAATGTTTGGACTATCCAGTCCTCCAGTTGAGTGGTGGGGCCACAGGCCATCATTTTATTATTACACTTTGCATCTTAGATGGTTGTTACACATATTTTTTAAAAAATTTTAAAACTTCAACCACAGCCTGGGCTTTGGAGTCAAACTCACTTGAGTTTGAACCCTATTTTTCCCAGAGCTGTTTGACCTTAGGTGTATTACCTGACCTCTCAGAGCTTCCCTTGTCTCACCTGTACAGTGAGAATAATGATGCTTCCCTCAAGGGTTAGAGTTAGGTACAGTAGCCCCCCCTTTGTCCACAAGGAACATATTCCAGGACCCCTGGTGGATGTCTGAAATCACAGATAGTACTGAACCCTATGTATTATACCATTTCTTGCTATACATATCTATGATAAAGCTCAGTATACATATTTATAAATGAGGCACAGCAAGAGATTAACAGCAATAAAAAATAATGAAATGGAACAATTGTAACAATATACTATAATAAATGTTATGTGAACGTGCTCTCTCTCTCTCTCGGAATATCTTATTGTACGTACTTACTCTTCTTGTGATGATGTGATACGATAAAATGTCAACGCGATGAGACAAAGCGAGGGGAGTGACATAGACATTGTAATGTAGCATTGGGCTACTGACCTTCTGAGATTTGTCAGGAAGATCATCTGCTTCCGGCCACAGTTGACCATGAGTAACTGAAACCACGGACAAGAAGAGACTGCTGTATGTCCCATGCCTGACTCGTGGTCAATACTCAATACGTGGTGATTTGCTTTGGGTCGGGAACAGTCGCAGGGGAATTTGTTTCAAATCTACTTGTGAACATAGACCTATGTTCTGGCATCCCCATTGCAGGCTCAGGGTGAAATAAATGGGAACTAAATGAATGAATGAGCAAATAAACAAATGAGCTCCTCCATTCCATCCCTATCTCTATGTGTCCTCCCCTGAGTGAGCTCTGGGACCCTAATGGTCTGGTTAGCCTTGTGGTCACTTCAAACAAAATCCAAAATACAATTCTCACACCCACCCAGAGTCTCTAGAAGCAGGCAGCTGCCAGGCCTAGCCCCAGGAAGATCCGGCCGCCGCTCTGCAAACTGAACCAAAGATCCCTGCGGGAGAACCTCATTATGCCCTCCCTGCCCCCACATCTCCCGGCACAGGTCTTGGCCCACGCAGCTGCTCGGCCAAGACGGCTGCTCTGAGGGAAGAGAGGCCCTTGGTCTACAGGGAGATTCCCCAGACCTTCTTCACAGCCTTGGACTGTCACTCTTAAATCCCTAAATTCCCCCAGAACTTTAAGCCTCAGCAACATTTGTCTTACAATGACAGCCCAAGATTAGAGGAAATGTAAGCGGATTTCCAAACCCTGACAATAGGAGACTGATATGTGTAGGCCTCCTGAGAATACCTGCCAGTCTCTGATTTGATTCCCCCCGCCCCCAATGTCAGGCAATACATCTGGGGGAGGGAATTACCTGTGAGATCATGGCCAGAGTTGTATATTTGAAGTCCGGTCATCTTAAGCCTTTGTGTGATCTGGAGCCAGTATCCTTTCTGATATCATCTTAGTTTGCTCCTCTGTAAAATGGGACAATAAT